TGATAAAATAATGCAAAAAGTTTGGGATTACACTGCAGTTTGATGATTATAGATTTGTGGTATTTGAAAAGATTGATTGTTCGGTTTAAGCATTTCTTGTGCAAGAAGTCCAAAAGTGATGTTGGTCATGTCAAACAGAAGCCCAGAATGCACTGCACAGCTTATAGTCTCTGTGCAGGTTGTACTCTGCTCACATGCCCTTCTAAAGGCACTATGTTTCAGTGCGTGTGTGTGTGTGTGTGTACGCGTGCCTGTGTGTGTGGGTGTGTGCGCGCGTGTTTCAGTGTGTGTGACTGTGACTGTGTGTGCATGTGTGTGTGCATGTGTGTCTGTAAGTGTGTGTCTGAGTGTGTGTGTGCATGTGTGTGTGCAAGAGAGTGCGTGTGAGTGAGTGTGTGAGTGTATCTGTGTGAGTGTGTGTGTGTGGGGTGATGGTCGCGGCCGCCCTGAATGGCACCTGTCAGCCTCTTGATTAACGAGGCCCTCTGCCCTTCCACTCCCTCGTCTGTCACTCAGGGAGCAGCCATTAATCTTCATCAGGTCAGGGCCGCTCTCTGACGCCCACCAGTGTGTCCTATCGCCATGTTTTTGTGCACTTAAAAGTGTGTGTCTGTGTCTGTTTTTATGTTCGTACGTGCGTGATGTGTCCTTGTCCATGGCACAATAAAAAACTCATGTGTGTTGTGAGAGGGTGTAAGAGAAGATTGCAGGATAGGGGAGGGGAGGGGGAGGCTGGGGGGGTGATGTAGGTGTATTGGTGTAATATATGACTGGACAACAGTGCAAGGACGTGACCCTGTGTAGATATGTAAGGGATGTGCGTGCCGTAAAAAAGGTGAGCGGCTAAGCTGAATAAACTGTGAAAAAAAAAAAAAACATGGGATACAGATGCCCCGACTGCAACTTTTTCTGGTGGTACTGCAGATACAGATAAATGCCATATAAAGGCAAAAGTACTCACTGAAAAATAAGTAGCATTTGCCTGTTTGGGGAGTATCATTGGATGGCTGGATATAGCAATAGCAGTTATTATGGAGGGAATGATAATGAAACCAGATGGACTTTTTTATCCAAAGCCCTATCACGTTTTACAGTGCACTGGTGTATATTTGCATAATATATTAAGAGTCGGCATGATTCCCTTGAGTGGGAGGTGAGAAGAAAAGGCTGAGGTGATGGGCGCGGGGGCAGGAGACAGATGGAGAGCACGGTGTCACTATCGCCAGCCGCCATTCGCCCAAAAGTACCCCACCCTTGGACCAGCGACTAGAACGCTTCCAACCAATCACAAGTCAGCAAATGCCCATGCGGCGTCCAATCAGATCACACGCAGATCAATTAGAACATAATACAGGGACATTCATCATTCAATTAGGCATCTGTCACCGCCAGTGCAAAGACGGAATGGAGTCAGAGAGAAAGCGATAGATAATAGTTCAGAGAAGAGAAGAATGCCAAACGATGGCACAAAGACAATACATAGGGGGCTAAATATTCATAATGTTAATTACAGTTTCATCACAGTGACATTGTTTTGACTAACAGCCGGTTCTCGGGAGCTCTAATGAGAAGCAAGGAAATAATCAGGACACCATAGGAACAATATCGTCTCTCTGTTTCAACTTCTGACAACTACAGAAAAGTTTAATTATTTAGACTTTAGAGCTTTTGGGTAATATGCAAATATAAAAGAAAAAACGAATCTAGTATTCCACTTTAACAACAAGACATAAATAAAAGTTTAAGCTTATCGTTAGAGACTATATGCTCTTGACTTAACACTAAAAAAACCAAATGATGGTTTTGGTTTGAAGTCATTTTAATCTACATATAACCGCTGTGTAGAATGTTCTGGCTTCAAAAACCCAATTAAAGACAAAACTCTGCATAAAGTAGCACCATAAACAAAGGGCATTATATTTCTAGTGGCAGATGTTTGCAATTACACATGTACCATGGGATGTAGAGCTTAAAAGTTACAGTAGTTTTACTTTTTGAGGTAATTGTTTGTCCATTGAATACAGTGACAGCAGAAAATGTACAACTCAGTTCAATCATGACTTAAAGCTGGGATACCTAACTTTTTTTCTTCATGTTATTAGAAAATGTGAGAGCCCTGCAAGTCCCTATTTGACACTTAGGGCTGGTTAGCTGGTCGAGGGTGGCCCCCTTTTGCCACTGTCTGATCTACAGATGTGACAAAGGCCAAAATTACATGCATTTGAAAAGTGGTGACAAAAACAAACTGCAAAATAAAATAAAAATGTGTGTCATTAAAAAGTAAAAGAGCTGTTGCATGGCATTACTCATAGCACAAAGAGCTGAAGAAACTATAGCTTCACTAGTTTGCCACGTCCCATTGTCCCATTGTGTGTTCAAAATCATGCCAGCTGTCCCTAACTCCCTATGGTGCAAAAGAAAAAAGATCCTTGTAAATTATATATCAAGATAAATGATAATTGCTTCATTTTTGTGTATGTGTACTGTGCTGCCTAATGAGCGTCATACATTAACAATGGCTGCTGATGTTTGTCAGAACATGTGTGCGGGAGGTTGCACTCATTGACACACATTTAGGATCTCAAAACTCAGACTATATGAAAAGTTGAATCAGTTTAAAGAATAAAAAGTCACACACACACGTACACAAGCCCTGTACAGTAATTGTGAAGTCCCCGAGTCCCTGTCATACATCAAAGTGTTGGCCGCACATCGCACATGTCGCGGCCCCAGGAGAGAGCCTGATTGAAACCTGGCAACACGACCCAACAGCTGCTTCAAACAAAAGACATCTGCATATTTCAGATTTGTTTTTCATAAATTAACACTGCTACCTGCCAAAAATCAAAGCATGGGGAGTACACATGTATACTATGATAAAGTTTACCAGCTTTGAAGGTTAGAGATATTAAGGTAAGAAAAGTATCAAGGTGTGAATGCAAACTGTTGTGATCATATATCTTTTATTAACAAGGATTTACTAACTTCAATATTTGCAATATTGAAGTTAGTAAATCCATATAACAATATAAATCCAATATACCTCATTATGAACACTCTAAAGTCAGTTCTTTTTCCTTCTAACTATTGTTATATTTGCATTAAATGACCTTATTCAAGAGCGCAGATCCTACATGTTGGACTGCGTGTCTGTATGTGATATGACTGGTCTTGTCTCTTGTTGTATGGGTCAAACAGAGATTTGTTGCACTAGTAAAAACCTTTTCAATTATTCAGTGAAACCAAGTGTTCTCTTCATCTCGCCCTCGCCTCCTGGAGTGTTTAGGGACCTCCAAAGGCCGAGAGCTAACAGTAGAAAACAGAGGATAGAGGGATGGATGAAGAGATGAATGGGTGTGGATGTCTCCTCCAAAGCATTGCTGCCTAATTACTAGCTCATTTAGATCACCCACCGCAGTTATAAATATCCCAACAGCTGGCACAATCGAAAACAGACAACACCAAAGACAGAAACAGAGCACAAGTCTGCTGAAATGAGCGCTGGAATGTTAACGTGTTGCTGCAGTGGGTTGTTTACAATTCAAACATGAACAAGAGAGTTCAGTGAGAATAATGTTCAGGAATGTTTTGCACTGCATGGATATTTAGTACCGTTTTGGACATGAGTGTCTGTTGTTATGTTTTTAAAAGTCAATCTCTGTAACTGTCTGTAACTCTAAAAAAAACGTGTGTGTTATTACAACAATGTGTAATAGCTTTTGAAACATAGTATAATTGTTTTCCACTTTTTTTTAGGTGGAAAGCAACAATCCGGGTACAATTATATGTTACATTGGCTTTGTATAATGAAACAAAATAATGTGCTTTAACATCAATGAACTCTTTGTCATGATAGTTTATTTTTGCAATGTATGAATTACTAGTGAAATTATAGCGACTTGGGAGTAATTGACACAAACTCGCTTGCCCAGCGGAGGAGCTGATGGAGGTGATAATATGTATATTATACAGTGATAAGCTGTTGCAGCCCTGTGTGATCTGGAAAGAATGCAATTCAAAGATAAAAGCTCAAAAACAGCCCCATGAGTATTTTTCCTTTTTACATGTCGTCATGGTGTTTGCACTGTAAAGACAAGACTATGGCTGCAAGCGTTTAAAAGATGGTAATGAGATAATGCTGCATCCCTTCTGGAGTACATATGTATTCAAACGCTTAAGAGGCCTCGGAAGGAAAGCTTCAAACCAAACCATTCAAATCTTCATCTGCACAAGCTGAGGGGAAAAACACTTTACTCCTTCACTTGAGAAATCCCTTCTTGACTTGAAAAAAGAGGCAAAAGAGATTTATTCTAAACAAATACATACTGTAACTGTATACAAAAGGACATAACGCATATTCAAAATCCGTGATCCAAGGTTTATAAAATTGCAAGGGATATTGTATTGTATAGTTACTTTTAAAAACTATGTCTGTACACCAAGTCGGGTTGGCATATTTGGTTTACCCCATCGAGCTAAGACATACATACATATTACAGGATCTACAAAGCGTACTGTACCTTTCTGGTTGTATTTCTAAATCAAATCAGCAAAATTGGGACTCGAAAGATCATTTTTCAAATAACTTAAGGGAAGATCTGCTATAGTCATTGTCGCTGTAGACATTCTGGCAGCAGATGACAGCTCGGTGGTTGGAGACAACTGGACCAAAAACACTGGGGTTCTGTGTTTGCAAACAATGAGTGGGATTCTGTAGGGGAAAAGTAAAGAAACAGAAGGAGTATAAGTGAGCTCCCTGTTTTACAGATTAAAACATAAAACTAAATCTGTTACTTCACTTTTTTTGTTTAGAGGGGAATAATACTATACATTACTAATACATTTGTTATTAATGCTACAATTTCCACTGGAAGGCTTTGGTTGTGTTGATTGACAAGAACATTTCACAAATAGCATCATAACAATGACTAAAAGGCTTTAAATAAAACACAATTGTGAAAAGTTACAGTAGAGAATGACAAAATACAGTCAGATCATACATGTTCTTAGTAGTGGTGGTGGTGGGTGTCCCCCACCCGCCCCTCATAGGAAACTCCAGTGAGGGGTGTTCACCATATGCTCTGAGGGACCGGGCTGGCAGGATAAAAGTGAGTGCTGCAGCTCTCCATCAGTGTGTTCAAAGCAACCATATGAAAATGACTTCGTACAAGACTTTGACGGAGGCCAAATTTAGATCAAAGCCAACCCCGGGCAGGACGGGGGAGAGTGGGGTGGTGGTAGGGGGTCTGCTATGGGGCTTGTGCATGAAATGGAAGTTTGTGTAAAGTGATGAGAAAACTGTGTATCCATTTAAATGTTTATGATGATAAAGGCAGGGGAAATTTGTCAATTTATTTTTGATCCATTACATCGAAGTTGTCCATAATAAAATGAATCAGTTTTTTTATGATGTGACCTCCAACTGTGAGAGAGTGGTCATTTTCAAGTCACATATCCACTGGTTTCAAGGCAGATGTGTAAAATATCAGACAAGCACCAAAATCAATTCACCATAAAAAAAATATTTTTGATATGGTGTTGTTATCATATTGTAAACTAAAGCACTGATAATGTATGACTTAAATTTGCGTATTCAATTTTTTCTGATCAGGAATTAGGAATAAAACATTCTGCCAATACCATAGAAACTGAGTTTGTGCTTGTATGTGACATATTAAATGAATGATTTTGTTTCTATCTCTCTGCTTAGTTCAGTCCCAGCCTCCTCCTCCTCCTCTCCAGAGAGGAGGTCACATGCTGCAGACCTGCTCCGTGCCATCTGGCTGACTTCCTGTCATCCTTACCCCAAGAGAGAGCCACTCTGCAGGCTATTGGACCCAAGAACTACCCTCCTCCAACTTCTCCTCCTCTACGCCTCCAGCACACCTGAGCAAAGAGGAACACACAGCATAAACACACACAGACTTGGGGGAAAAAGAAGTGAATGTCTTGAATGCAGCCAATAATGGGAAAGGCCTGCCGTTCTGATGAAAAGTGATTAATCAAGCGCTGTTACCATGTGGTTTGAGGGGAAATGCACTGGACAGATGCCAGTTCTTGATAATGACAAATCAGATTTGCAGCACAACCACATTGCTGAAGGGCATGTTTTTGTGCTTGTGTGTTATTTGTTCATGTTTATAAAAAGAAGAAGAAGAAACTTTCATTGAATCTGAACATAATTGGTGTTTCAATATAAACTTCAAAAGATTATTCAAACAACTGCATCATTATCTCCTCACCTTGGTCTGACACGTCTAACACAAGAACATTTGGACGGGTTTGAAGCAGCAGCAGATTCATCTTAATGTCACACCCGTGGTCTTGCATATTCATATAAATATAACATGACTGCCGCTCACGTCGAAATTTATTGGTTTTCCTCCACTGCAAATTAGGGGACTCCAATTGATGAATATTTTAGCACATGTGCACTCTGCGGGACATTTATCATCAGCTTTGCTATTATAAACAGAATAAATGAGCAGTCAAAGTAGGCTGCTGCCATAGCACACTGCACTTTCTCCAATTGCCGTTGCTGCAAAATGGCAACATTCTTTTCACATTCTATATATTTTATACAGTATGCTTCTTATGTATAGGTACTGGTTCAAATTTGCTATTTATTTGTTTCAAAAAATTCCAATAATTCATTTCAGTATGACTTTGTTTTCACCCCGAGTAACGAAAAGTTTTGATCAGTTAGTCATCACTTGCACTATACTTAAAGTACATGTCGTTAAAGCAGCCTCTGAATCTATGTTAAATGAAGCCCTGAGGGGGTCGAGACGGAGGTTAATTGGATTGACTAAAATTATGTTATTTCATTACACATATTACGTTTTGGAGGTTAGGCTAATAAAATAGATGAATTCTAAAATAATGTTGGCTGCATTTTTTCAGCTGTAGTCTTACAAAAGGCATTAGTAATTACCTTCACACATCTTGAAAGGTGGGTGAACACTTACATATGTTTACTGTATAACACACAGCGCTTCATAATACAACACTCTCCTTCTCTCACTTGCTCTTTTTCTCTAAAGCTTTCGGATGACATACAGAGTAGTAGTAGTAAAGTAATCTCTGTCTGGCTGAAGAAGATCCTAAAAAAAAAAAAAAGCAACAATACTGCCTTCTGACTGGCTTTGAACATAATAATAGCAAACTAACAATGTTGTTTCATGAACAATTTAAAGCTATAATCAATATAATGATGACACTGTCTTCACTGTCTATTCAACACAACCGAACATGGGACATGTTGGTGGCCTAAACTAATATGATGAAAGCAAGTAAATAGCAAGTTTCTTCTCTTCCTCCTTGGACCGTGCCCACCCATTGCTGCTTGGAAATGCAGGAGCCCCTAAAGCAGTTCCTCTCACCCACACAACCAAAGAAAACTGTCGGGATAATCTCTCAAACGAGCTCCAAAGCACCTGCGGCATCATATCACCATCACTGAGTCCCACTGATCAGCCACTGCAGAGGCAGGCATTGTTTCAAATGCTTTCATTCACAGATCCAGCCATTGGCAGCGACTGTGAAATGGGTGAAATCCCAGTCTGGCAAAGTTGGCACATAGGCCTATAGCATCCTGGACCCCTTCCACATCAGAGAGTTGTGCCACATGCTAACTGTCATCCGTGAGGCAGTGCAAGCCCAAAGGGGAGTCTGGCGAAGCGGGCGGGTGCAGGGGTGCAGCAGTGGTGGGATGGAGATCTCATACAGCCCTCACACTATAAACATGGGACACAATAAAGCACCAGGAGCATCAGAGGTGATTATTACTTATGCAGACACTGTTGTGAGTTAGTACTATTCTCTGGTGTCTCTCTCAGCTGGCGCTGGCCCAACATGAAGCCTCGTTCAGATCTGCCTGTCCCACATAAGCACACACAAACATTCACCCGCCTGTGCATCCCCTGGCATCACTTCTCCTCCTTCGTAAACACTAGCAGCTGCTTAGGCAATTAGCCATTAGCTCTTTACTTTTTACTATAATACCCAGTCCTTGAAAATCCCCACAATTAGCTCCTTAATTGCTTCTAAACAACCCAGGCGTAACCAATAAATAGAGAAAGGAGGGCTGTGGTTTGGTGAGGAGAGGGGCTTCTGTTGGGACAGTCTTATTGGAGAACAGAGCACACTGCCATAGCCCTCTCTCTCCTCTCAAAGAAGCCAGTGGCATTTTTCTTCTTGGCACAGAGAATCTCTCACATAAGAAAAACGGAGAAAAGGGTCAAATACAAAGCGGCAAGAAACTGATGCCTCATATTTAAATGTAAAGTGACACATCCATGCCCTTTATTCTACGTCTAACTATCATTTCAGGGAAAGGCTAACATTCAGTGTGACAGAGGGTGTTATGGTGACTTTTGAACGGGCACGAGACAGCACCCTGCAGGCCTGGATCTGCGTGTGCAGCGTGATATGACACAGCTTGCCTGACAGAGCAATGGGAATATCCTTGAGATTAGCTGAATGTATTAAAGCAAAGCATGAAACGTATCTAAGCGTTGATTAAATCACTCTCACATTCATTCTGGCGGTTCCAGTTAACATCTTAACAATAAAAACAGCTACGCGCTGCTAACATGACAGTGGCCTGTGGGCCTGAGTGTGTCTCTGTGTAAATGCACATTAACCATGCATCAAGAACAGGCTATCAGACAGTGTTGTTCAGGTCAATTATATATATTTATATATATATAGAATATAATAAAACATTTTGTCTATCATTATTAGTATTTATTTTTTACAAAGTATTTTATTATTATTTATTTATGTATTTCAATTTCTATTACACTTACTATTTGCATTATTTGTAATGCAAGCATTACAAATATTTTTTTATTTGCAAAACTCATAATGTAAAAATAAGCCTTCCGTTCAGTGAAACCTACAAATATATATTTTATACATTTTAGAATCAGTGTATGAAGTGTTTATCTATCAACAATGATGCTCAGTGGGGTTGACATTAGGGAGTTGACAGTACTTGCCTTGTGTCGATGTTGTAATAGAACTAAAGTCTAACCAAAGCGAGTGAGGTTTGGACTGCAGGTTCTGTTCATAACACTTGGCTCTCACTCAAAGAAGTACTGTTGATTGGTCTCCCCAATGCACATTATCGATAATCTGCTTCCAAATGAAAACAATCATAGCAGAATCAAGTGTAATCAAGTAATTCACTGCAGCCTGTACTATACTGTACAGTATGTCTGATCTACTCCGACCCAAGAACATCTCACAAATCTGCCTGTTTTCACTCACATAGGACACATGCGCAAAGGAGTACAAGCACCATCTAGTGTTTCAGACTGGAAATGTTTTTTATAGCGGAAGAGATAGAATTATGATTATGAATGTTACACTTTGCTCTGTGTTGTGTGATGGACGGCTTTCCTGGAACTTAGAAAGTATAGTGGTGAATATTGTCGATAAACCATGGCAGCACAGTCCACGTTTGCGTCTGTAGTAATACAATGAAATTAATATTTTGTAGAACTATTTGTTAAGGCTACTGTGTACTTCAATGTAGAAGGCAAAGGTAATAAAGGTTGAATCCCAGGAAAGAACAAGAAAAGATGCGACATACATGAAAATAATGTGTCTTATCGTGTATGCATCATCATATAATTATTGACACTTATTTATTACCTGTATCAAAAATAACGCATACCAGATAGTATTTCGAGTCCGCACTATAGACTGTATCCGTACTAGCGACGGACACGAGCACGAGCACGATCACGATGGCGAAAGATAAGCTCTGCGGCTACCGTAGTCTGGTGACGTTACACAACAAACATGGTGGATAGTTCGAATGAATGCAAAAACAGCCAAACACAACCTTGCAGAAAAACGTGCAAGTAAAAAGAAATCTAAATACACCAGACGAAAGAAGGGAGGCATGTCGTTAGGATAAGTCACTGAGCACGTCTCTTTTGTTGAAATATGTCGGGGACGAAGCCCCATGCTGTAAGTCAGGGACACCGTGCCTCCGCTGCTGCTCCAGAGTGCACAGAGATCTGGAAGAATGTCCCCAAGTTTACTGGAGGAAAAACACCAGAGAACATAAAGACGCGTGCTCTGGCAGAACATGCGTCTCCGCGATTTACTGGTGAGTTTTTAAAATGGAGAAATCTAGTACATTTGTGTTTTTGTTCTACCAGCTTTTGAACCATGACACTTAACTTTGCAAACACTTTCTAACTGCGGGTCAGATCTGCAAAGCCCCAAACGAAGAGGTGCATTTCTTGGTGTGAGTAATGGGGATTCGCCAGGAGACGTGGAGCCCTCTCAGGACATAATCTGGGATTCAACTTCACCAACTCAGGGGACCGCAGGTAAACAAATAAGTCAACAAGCATGGTTAACAGGACTAGTTACTAGGGCTGGGTGTCTTTCAGAGCCAGTGGATACCATAGATCGACATGCATGACACGGTACAATACCTATCTAGATACAGGGGATTTTTAATTTGATACAATATTTATTTTAAAGTATACGATTCAATTAAAGAAATAAAGGCTTTTGACCCTGTAAATAACCTCCACCTGCTTTTTGAAGGCCGCCGGTACACTAAAGTGGAAATATCTGACCTTGTCAACCGCATTGCTCCAAAGGTTTGCTGAAGTTATGCTTTTTTGATTGTCTGTGATATTCCTTGATTTTATTTAACACATTTCTGGTTTTATTATTTAGGATGTCAAACCTCAAAAGTCACCTCTGCTTCAGTGGATTGGGGACAGTGCAGTGCCATGCACACCAGAAATTCCAAAGCAAAGAACCAAGAAGAGGTCGTCGAGGTATGAAGTGATTTAAACTAGGTCCCATACATGCACCTTTCATATATTACTGAAGTGACAACACAGAATATTGATGATATTGTGTGTTATTACATTTACTTTTTACTCTTTTATAGACAAAACAGTGTGGACGATTTAATGAAATTGGCCAAACAGTTTGATGAAAACATGCAGCAAGACAAAGATAAAAGTGAAAAATTGAACATAATCAACAATAACGCTAATCCCAAAGAAAATGTGATTAGTGATCTGGTGGAGGCAGAGTTGCAGGCCCTATTCGACAGTTCCACTCAGAAAATCAGCGGCCCGCTCAGCCAGGCCTCCACATCGTCGGCAAGTTCACCGGAAGTGGCACATCCTCCTATAGAGCCGTTGTCACAAATCGCCCCAGAGACAAACAAATGCGACGACTTTGATGATGACTGGGAAAATGAACTCCTAAATGACTCTGCCTTGATGGCATTAACTCAAAATCCTGAGGAACTAATTGGCACAACTAAAGTGAGCATGCAGTCTTACACTAAATGTGTTTCTGAGGATGAATCCTCCTCAAACGCAAACCATGCACCTAAAGAATCACAAGTGCATACAGTAAGTCCAAGCTATAGTGCACTTCAAGCGTTGTGCCCTAAACTAAAGACTACAAACAGAAGCACTTTTAAGCTGGGACCAGACCCTGTTATTCGTCCTCCAACAAAGCCTGCCGAGTCCAAATTTACTGCTCTAAAGTCGTTGCATCACACAGAGCCAACATCCACAGTGACAGCAGAGGGTTTTTCTGACAGTTTGTGGGACGATGAAGATGATGCTTTGTTGTACGAAGTCTGCGATACTGTGGAGAAGATTTCTAACAGTCAGCCTTACAATGTGAACCAATCAGAATGTCAGAACAAATGTGAATTGCCCACAGACAGAGTGCACAAAGTCACTTCCCCATTGCCAATAATATCCACAAACACTTGTACCGACAAACAGCCTAGTTCCTTTGTTCGCTCCAACTCTCTACCTGTGACCAGCAGCACTAACTACCAGGGATGGAACAACCTCATGCATGGGTCCAGCATCACACCGCAGGTTTCACAGAGTCTCCCTGGAAAGTCTATGGGCTCGTTCAGCCGATTTAATCATAACAACAACAACAATACCAACAAATCACTGCAGAAGTCCAGTCACACTGCGTTCAAGAGGAATGTGTCAGACTCCGCTGTGATATGTAACAAGGGTAAGTCTTCACAAACTCTTCATTAATAATTTATATTACATTAAATTAATCAGCGTAGTGTTCTTTGTAGTGTTTGTTACAAGTGAGGTTACAGGAAAGTGTTCTGCTGCTCAAATTGAGAAGAAAAAACAAGAGGCCTTAGCACGGAGACGCCAGCGGCTGCAGAACTTCTGAAAACATGAAGGATAACTATTTCTTGGGAAGGACTTTTTCTGGATCATAATGTGTATAAAGACAGAAAGCCCATCACGTATATTTCACGCCAATCGGAGGTGACAATTGTCAAATCTACATAGTTCTATAATGTTATGTGATGTACCATTGTAACGACAAAAAACGACAAAGCTCATTGATCAACCAAACTATGTCAAAGAAAACGTTTTTTAGACAGTTTTGACAATGAGATCAATCCATGTGCTGAAATGTTTTTGTTTACATTTTTCAAAACTTAAATGAACGACTTATGAACCAGAGTATGTCAAGTGTTATGTTTGTCTCTAGTTTCCTACTGAATGTGACGCCGATTATTGCCTTTTATACTCCTTTCTTTGCACATTGTACATTTTGTTCATGCTTGTTAAGATTTTGTTCTGGTCTCATAGTTGTGTTCCATGTACATTCAAATGTATCCACTATTGAGAAATTAAAATGACAAAAACAATAGTTTTGTTTTAGCTTTAGTGATTATTAGCATAATTATGATTATAAACCAAGCTACAGTGGTCACAAGCCAGTGTTCGGTGAATCTCATTATGGGTATTTTGAAACTACAAAAGACTGATAAAATAACTAGTTCCTAGCTCTAAAAACTGGCTATACAATATTTTTAACATGCATATATGTTTGGACTCTAGTCACATGACATGACGTGTATTCTGATAAAGAGCCGGTTGTGGTCTGATTTGTTCACAAAATGTTACATAAACAACGCCTTGGATTGCCTCAGCTGTACTTAAACACACTAACTTATTAAAACAGACTGTTAACTCAAATACATTTCAAAAACATTCAACTCTATTATCAACAAGTGGAATGTGCATGAGGAATGGTAGTGCATAAGCCTCTGCAGTCTGCACTACCATGGCTAGTTGTTGGAACTACTTTAGCATGGTCCAAATGTGTGTCCTTTGGCCCCTTATCACTCTCCTCACCTGTGTGAAGTTTGTACAATGTTTCCTTTGTAAGTTCAGAATGTCTTCCTCTCATTACAAGTCTGTGAGTGTCCAGGTGTGTAACAGGGGTCTGCAGGTGCCTGAATATTTATGCCATCCCTGTCCTGCTCTGCCCTATAAGCTCTCGCCCCTCCCAGCTTATCTCTGCCAGTAAATCAGATCACAGAGCAATTTGGCAACAGCATAAAGGCCCCTCAGGTTTTATGACTATGATTATGGTTATGATGATGACTAGTATTTATTTCAACTATCTGATGAAATGCCAGGGTAAAGCTAACAGGTGTCAAGGCAGGTACAATATCGAGACCGCTGAAGGATCCCCTGTAATGTCGGCCATAGAAGGCTTAATATCTCCACGCTAAACAAGAATGGGGCTATTTCAGCAGGGCAATTTCTGATTATTGGATGGGAGTGGAGCGCCCACAACGTCCTCTTTGTGGAAAAGGGGGTTGATTTATGGACGTTAGTCAGGCATACGGCAGTAATTGCTAGGATGACGATTATGTTACCATGGCACCTGTTTAAACTGTCTATTCTTATGTGAATGTTTTCGTTTTCGGCACTGCTGAGGAGAATTTGTGCAGACGTTAATTGAAGTTTGGGGGAAAGTGTCTGGGAAATTGTGTGGTAACAATTAAGTTGAAAGGAGAGGACATGATGGACAGAGCTGCGTTGTGCAATCTGACAGATGGCAAGAAAGTTTGTGAGAAGCAAAACAAACACAATGTAGTTTTCTTAGTCAACACACAAACGTCGAGATTGCAAAGTAGGGAAATTTGACCGCACATAAACATACAGTCAGCAAGCTTCAGGTTTTATTCCATTGCTGATGTATATGTTCAGGCAGTACACATAAAAAGAGTTGTGTGAACTATGACCTCACCTCACCAAGCAAAGAACTATAGCAGAAGCTTGAACAGTACAGTTTATTCAGTCAGTATTAACACTTCAGAACTACACAGAATTCTATTTAGCATATTATTTGAGATTTTTCTCCTCATCCAATTTTTCATAGTATGTGAGTAATGTTTATTTAGCACTTTGGTCAAAGGCTACAAAGTGCTTTACACTTCAAAAAATGTCTAATGTCTAATTTTTTTCTCAAAAAAAAGCCCACTTCACTTGCACTGTTCAAAATTGCGGCCCCAAATTGATTAGTTGGTTGATTATTATTTTGATTAATCGGTTTGTTGTTTAGAACCTGAAAGGTCAGTGAATATGGGATTTTTATACATTTGACCTAAACAAATGAGGCCCCTGGAGAAAATCTTTATAGAGACGACTTGTTACACATTCATTCTGCAGTTATTATAGAATTATTTGAGCCGGAAAACCTCTGCTCATCAGGTTTAGGTCATGCTGCTAAAATCTGGAACAGTCTTCCTGAAGATGTGAGACAGGCCTCCTCTCTGACAATGTTTAAAACCAGGTTAAAGACAGTTCTGTTTAGCTGTGCATACAACTGAGGGATTTTATATTTTTATCTTTCTTTTTAATGTTCTGTGATAATTTATGATTTTAATGCTTTCTTGTTTTGTTCAGCACTTTGAATTGCCTTGTGTATGAATTGTGCTATATAAATAAACTTGCCTTGCCTTGCCTAGGTCGGTGTGAGGTCCAGAAAATGATTAATTGAGAACTAATTTTGTTGGTATAATTTCATTGATCAATTTAGCTTGTTACAGCCTGACACATGATAAAAGCATTTATATAATATCTTTCCAATCCTGGACGTAGAAGTAAAACATATGCATACAAATACTGTAGTATTTTTGATTAAATTAACCTCTGTCTAATCCAAGGATCGAGAACCTTGCACTTGTGTCTCCCCAATTCTAGTCTATTCATCCAGGACCAGGCCGGGGAAAAGTTATACAATTTTTGTCTTGTTTTAGATCCTATGTTCAACACAGTGAGCATGTAATTTGCGATGTGATTTAATTCCAATTGAGGATTGTGGCTTGAACAACATCAATAGAAAGTCATGAAAACAGTTCTGAATTTCAGCTCAATCGGCTTGAGGACATTGACCATTCCAGACAAGACATGTGCAAACGGCAACCTTTTTTTTTTTTTCTTCATTGCAAATTGTGAACATATTAAATCATGTAAAGTTGTCAATTCTGTGATTAAATTTACAGTGGTATTAGCTCGTGCTGTATTTCACCTCTGCTTAGCCGGTAGAGGGCTGGAGTAGCGGAAGTGAGTAATGGGGCCTTAGTGGAAAGCCTATGTGTGGTGGATTATCAAGGGATACGCCGTAGATTAAAATGAGCTCAGGTTTTTCCACGGGCATCCACTGTTCAGCTAAACAGAGTAGACAAACAGCCACCATAAATTAAGTGTCTTTAGAAATATGACCTGAGGTAGCTTTTAGCTCCTTCTGATAGCATCTCTAATGGCTTTCCCATGCTGTGAAGCCAAACAGTGAGAGACCAAGAACTGTTTTCATAGCTCAGAGTACCTCCACATGTACGGCTATTGGACTGTGCACAAGTCATAGACAGTTTTGACTTTATGGCCAAGAAGAAAGAGAAAAATTCAGTAAAATAAATACTATAGACCTTCCAGACTCATTCAAGTACCTCTAATGTAATGATAATAATTCGAAGTGAATATTATAGTTAAATAATGCACTCACCCTGGAATGTTCAACAAGGGTCTCGAGCCAACGACGAGTGGGTAGAGCTCAGGCCTCACAGAGAGAGGGTTAACCAAATCATTTGCTTGGTCAAAGCATATGCTATCAAAAAATTGGTTCAATACCAACAAGTCTTCTCACTGCTATTTTCTAAGCAGGAAAAATATGGACATACACTATAACCATTAAAGTAAACACAGTCATCTTGTTATTATTTCTTGTTTTGTATTTGGCAGTCAAACAAAGATGGAAAGAAAGACTTCAACCTCAACAGTATTTTCCACATGTCTGATTTCTTATCTCCCTGTCGAGGCTTGAGAAGGTGTGTGTACGTATGGAAGGCGCTTGTCAGCAGCGCAAATGATCCGTGGAGAGTTTCACGGTGCGTGTCATTGGACGCTTTTAGATTTGTTTCAACAGTGCTTTACCTGAGGGCTGCTTTCACAGGCCCCCAGGTATGACCGGCCTCTCCTCTCTCTGGGGAGGGAGGGGCCGCAGGGTACAGGAGTGACTCAAGTGCAGAGATACAGCCAACATGACAGCGCAATGTTTTTGGGGCTAGACACTCTGCATCGAGTTCACAATTTGTAAACCAACATTATTGTGGTGGAATATGTGCCTTTTGTGTTGCAGGGTAAATAGTAGGGTGACAGAATCCCAGTGAAGTGGATATGAACTGAAGTTTTTTCTTTTTTAAACCAGGTTTGGAGCAGCAACTACATTTCATTTCAATCAACGGTGTTGACCTATTGAAAAATCAAGACCAAACTTAAAAACTTCAAACACAGATATGAGACGGCACAGTAGAATTCCAGTTAGAGTCAGTTCTATTAATTGTAATGTGTAATGTGAATATAGTGCCTGTGAAATAAGCAGATAGTAGATACTATAATCTCAGCTTGAACTGTGCATATAGTTTATTTCGGCTCTTTTTCATTCACATTGTTGCATTTATCATAGTTGTAAGGGTTAATTTAATTCTGAACAAAATACAACATGAAATGAAAATTAATGTAATAACTGTGAAAAATCCAGCTTTAGGGATCTGAAGCATGTTAGCATTTACGTTTCAATATCATGGTGTGTATATTTTTTTTCTGTTTAAATGATATATTAGTTTACCGGTTTCCTAACAAAGTTAGGAAAGCATTGGACAAGTTGTATATTTGTTTCCTCGTTGTCTTATAATGTTTCTCTTCTTTCTCTTGTTAAAAGAAAACATATGGCAAGACTTAAAGTGAGACAAGTTCTGCTAATTTACAACCACAGTAGAAGAATGGGCGTCTGGCTATAATTAATTGCGTTACTAACCTTTCCTAAATTATATCAGATATGGAGCAGGCATGTGTGCGAGATAACATCTGAAACAGGCTCTTGTTATTTCAGCGTAAATCATGGCTTTGGCTTAATGCAACGCGAAACAAAAATGCTGTATGATGGATTTATTTCTCCATTCAAAAGACTCCAAAAGTTCTATCCACACGTTCCTGCATTATCACATGTTTTCTTTTCAATCCATACAGATCTCTTATTATATCCCAGCATCATTACGCTTTATTGAGCAAGCTGATAAGGGCTTGTGTGTTTTGAGAGGCCAAAATGGAGCTCAGAGCCAAGAGTGTGTCCCCCTCGCCACATTCCTCGGGCCCCTGTCTGCCAACACCTTTGCGCTACAATGGCCCTGCTTTTTTGTGCCGCGCGGTAATAGTCGGCGTGGGATGTAATGGTGTGTTGACAGGTTTAGGCTGAGGTAATTTTGTTGCAGGACCGTATACAGGGAGGTGCCAAATCTTCCCCTGAGGAAAAAAAATAGAACATTTAGCTTTAAGCAATGCATGTAGATACTGGGCATTGTTGGATTTCGTTGGTAAACATTTGTATTATTTATGTTAAAGTGAAAGTATGTGTTCGCTCGACAAAATAGAACATTTTGTTTGTATATCAATTTAAAGCTGGGGTACCTAACTTTCAAACCACAGAAAATAACTACGTACTAAAATTAATCTAAAAGTTTAGTTATTTCACTAGTTTCCACATGTATGTATTTTTGGGCTCGGTCACATCTTTCCATCGTCTTTTTCAGAAAACGGAAAAATAGAGGACCACCCTAAGATCCATCAAATTGAGTTCTGTTATGTTTGGTTTGGGCCAAAACTGGACTAAAGGTAAGGAAGGATTTTTATTTTACGCCAATTGTTTGTTTACTTAAAGTAGCAGTATGTAATATTTGCATGTCAAGTCATCATTAAATGGCCCCATATTTCAAAAGGCGTTCTTAAATCATGCTCTTTTCATATACATATTTAACTGATAACAGTAGTTCAGCCGAGATATTTGATAATCAAAATTAGTTTCACGACCTGTAAAAGTTTTTTTTGTTTTGATTTTGATGTCCTACCCTCCGCCGTTTCGCCAATCCCGTGATCGGGTTGCCAGAACTCCGCGCGGCTCTCTAATCTCAGTGGTATGTGTTATGACTCTCAAATAATTAATGACAAAACAAAGACTAAAACAAGGATTTATATCGGGACGTCTTTGAACAATTGAGACAGCTGATAAGTTTACCTGTGATGCAAAATTTGCTGCTTTGAGTCCATTCTTCAGAGCAGTCTTTACCGCGCGAATCGATGATCTAGTGGTTAAGATTACGCGCTCATGATGCAGTAACCCGGGTTCGATTCCAGGCAGAGTCTTTTTGTATTTAATTGCATGTTATCACATTCTTTGACAGATTTCTCTAAAAACGGTAAAAGACTAAGGTCAAGACGTTTTTTTGCAGATTGTAGCCTAATTGTAAAAAGAATAATTTAAGAGCACATGTATCCAATTAAAATAATGCTAGTCTCTCTTTGATGTGGGACTTAAACATGTTTGTCTAAAAAATAGGGAATAAATAAAATTGAAAGGTGATATCCTCTGGAGCAAACCCTGATGTTGATACGCTGAAGAAATACGTTCCAACATCCATTCTTCCCACTCCTATTTTGGACATCAATTGCTTATTTATTTTGGTTAATCTATAATTACATTGCTTTTATTTTGTTTTGTGTTTTTTTTATCTCAAATGTCCAAATAAAATAAAAAAATTAAACATTCATTCAACATTAGCATGCCTCATGGCAATGTGAATGGAGACAGACAAACAACTGATAAAATAATTCCCTGTGTTTGCTGCTGGATTTGGTGTGTATCTGGCAACCTGAGTCAGGGAGAGTGGGAGAGGACTACAAAATATTGACTGTGACTGCAGTACCACTTTTGGCCAGATTTTTACATATTGTTCCTTTAATTGTGTTTTGTGTTCAAGATTTATAATAAATCGTGTTTACAGTCAAGAGACAATGCAGACTAATCTAAATCTTATGTTTATTCTCACAAGAAATGTATATTTAAAATAATATATAATATACAACGGTCAAATTAATGCTTGCAAATGACTAATGATAATAATTTTGGGGGGAAAAAATAATGGTTTGACCCTTAGAGCTATTCATATTTACAAACTGCTTGTTCCATGTTTCAGTGTGGTATGTCAGTAGTAATTGTAGCTGAAGAAATGGTCCGCTCTGCGATCAAGTCCAAGAATATGTACATAAGTGAGTATACGAGTTCTTCTAACGCCGTAGCTTGCACAAAGGCAGATGCATCTATCCCATATCAGTTTATCCTCATTTACAGCTCATTATTAACCACAAGTGCTTTAAAACTGATGTGAACTGCAGCTGTCGGACCACAGACCCACTTATAGCCGCTCACTAGAGGCCAAACAGCCACAGATGACCCCAGCACCTGCCTGATGACCATCTCCTCTGAGGCTGACTAATGCACGCACCACCCACGAGCTCAGCCATCTCTGCAGCCTCCATGGTGAGTGTGACCTTTCAGGATCCACACTCTGCCACTGCCAACACGCTGATGGAGCCTTATAACGAGATCCCAAAATCTTGTATTCTGTCATTTATCATACTTTCTCCCAAACATGATGGTCAAAGAATGTGGGATGTTGGTGAATCTAAAAAGAGTTATGAATTTCACTTTCTTGTGTTTACCACGGCAGAACAGTTCACCATGCCAAGGAAGAAGCAAAACAGGGCCTGCCAACAAAAGCAATGGCAATGTTTTCTGCACAGTATTCTCCTCACAGGCAAATTGAGAGTCCCTAGTCAAATTACACAAGCTGTTTCCAAATGCAAATATGTGTTATCAAATCAACAAGGCAACTAAAGATGCAAATGTAGAGATCCGTGCTGCTCGTTTAGCATCTGTTGGGAGGTGAACAGAAAATTAAACATTTCCATCAAGACTTTGCCCTGTGCGTTCTCTGCTGAGAGCGAGATCCCGGCTCGTACATTTCTGTTTGAACAATCCCTTTTGAAACTCCTCACAAAGATTCGGGGCACTTCTGGCACCGTGGAGTTGGACTGAGCCCATTTGGAAGCTCCTTTGTGGGGGTTGAGACGAGCCAATGCCGCCGTTGGAGGGAGATGGGATCACTGACTGATATCTTGGAAGAAAGACATGAAGTTCATGCCTTCAGGTAAGCTGAATTTACTTCTAAATTGATTTTTCTACTATCATTGGTCTGGAATGCCTCAAACGTTTGTGGGTCATTAAACAATTTATTACTCACATGAAATGTATGTGTATAATGTATTTTACTGTGATTGACGGATTGAACTTGTCTGGAGTACAACCTGCACAAATATGGTAAAAAGTGAATGTATTATAGCGTCTTTGTACCCTCTGAAGTATGATTTCTTTTTCAAGGGATTATATTAAATTGAAGATTGAAGCATTTTTTCCATCAGACAAAAACAAATTCCTTACTTGGTAAAGATGCATCAAAATGGCTCTCACAAGTTATTTTTAACGTTCTCTCTGTTGCCAGGTAAAACATGAAATGTCATTCCTGCAGTTATTTCATTACACATAACATACTGAGAGGATCTCCACTGGGCCAGTGAGTTCTGTATCTTCATCGAGGAGGAGACATACTGTCAACCATTCAAGAACCGCACTTGTTATGGATACAAAGAGTTGGTCGGACTTTCACTCGTAATATAGTATGTGGAATGATGTGCGTTGTAAAAGTAACACTAAAACCAATAGTGCCGGCAACATACTCTCCACACTCTCCAACGACTAAAAAGGATTCCTAACCCAGAACGGCTCTGTTTCTGTCACACCTTCAGTCATATCTATTGTCCATTAAAACAATCATCAATGTTCATGGCTGCAAGTTTTCATGCTCATGACCAAAAACAGACAGTCTGTCTATTTATTTATTTAGCCTCAACTATTTCAATAAAAAACAATGCAACTTTGTTTAAGGGCAGATCAAACATAAGAGAAGAGAACCTATATTCATCCCTTAATGGGGAAATTTGGATGTTGCAGCGCACATACAGGACATTAGTATAAGAGCACACAGGGAGCATACAAAATATACAATATACGTAGCGGCTATACATTACAATACATATGAAATATAATATAAAAAATGACATTAGAGAGGAGAGAGGAGGTTCAAGATGTCACTGGGCCATATTAAAAACATAATTACTCATGGGCAATTATGTTTCTGCTGATTCTCATATTGTGGTCCCTTCAGACCTCCCCTGTTTTCCAATACAACCAGCGTCCTTCATGCTGTATGTGACATGTCGAGCCCGTTCCCAGGTCACTCATAACACCTTGACTTACACGGCCTGTTTACATGCTGATAACTCCACACACGCCCACGCACTGCAGCCAGCGATAAAGGTTACCATGTCAGGATTTTAATCTACATGTGAAATGTGTTCTCCAGCGCTCGCCTTTTCTGTCCACTCAGCAAAACCGGCCATACTGAGGGGGTCTCTTATATTGATCGAATAGGTTTTAGTCAAGAATACACACAAAACCTCCATTTAACAGGCGCACACACATAGACTCGGGAGGGACGGGTGTCTGGCATGTAGCGTGATGGTCGAACATCAATCATGGCCTGTCAGACTTGCCTTCCCCCTCAAAACCCCTCCCCCACCTCACTTTTCTTCATCTGCCTCACTGGACGGGCTTTGTTTTTGAATGGCGTTGTGTTGAGAATGTAGTCGGCCCACGGGCAGCGAGATAGGGGCTCCACGCAGGTGTTGGCGTTCTCAGCTGCCTATTAACTTCGCCCGCTGTCCCACTTCAGGTCAGGACGAGCGCTCTGCATTCTAATGTGGCTGGTGCATGCGAGAGACATTAGGCAGTCGTGGTGAATGTGCATCTGCGATAAATGAAATTAACTCATGAGTTGAGGGAGTTGTGCATGTTTGTACCTATGAGTAAAACAAAGGTCTATAGGAGTCTCTGGTAAAAGGCTCACAAATCTCTCAATGATAAACAATTCACATTTGCATGTGTTCGATTGGTTTGCAACTGCTCCAAAATACAGATGCTTTCGTAAGAACCTTTGTACTACAGATAAAAATATTGTATTTGGGAATGACCACAACAAAGTGACAACAAAATGATACATGATTTGGTTGTATACTTTTTTTCTTTCCTGAAAATATGAAAAGTGGAGCTTACGGATGTATACAGCATTTCTCCAATGTTAAAAAGCATTTTGTTTCCTTTGAACATTTGCTCATGACTGCTGCGCGATTAAATAGAGCCTACCTAAGTGTAATATATACTCTCGATGGTAATTGTTCAGTGAGGGCCTCAGAACTGTCTTTGGTCACTAAACAACATCATGAAGTCCAAGGAGCACACCAGAGAGATCAGGGAAGAAGTTGTGGAGAACTATGAAGCTCATGGAGCACTGATTAAACCACTGTTACTTTCTGTTAATAATGAAATAAATAAGAACAGAATATCTCAATAAACTAAACCCAATGAAGATACAATACAAGATAAGATAAGAGTTCCTTTATATGTAGGGCAGGATAAGAAGTACATAGATAAGTGGCATTGTTCAGTGACAGTCTGAAGTCGCAGTATTGCACATGATTTAAGTATTTACTTATTTACAGATGAATGAAATTTACAGGCTCAGCAGTTCTCGTTGTACAGTCTGACAGCAGCAGGAAGGAAAGACCTACGGAACCTCTCCTTCACACAGCGAGGGTAAATTAGTCTGTCACTGAAGCTGCTCTCCAGAGCAGAGAGAGTGTCCTGCAGGGGGTGACAGTCATGGTCCAGCACAGATGTTAGTTTGTCCAGGACCCTCCTGTCCCCCACCTGCTGCACTGTGTCCAGGGAACAGCCCAGAACAGAGCTGGACTTCCTGATGACCTTGTCCAGCTTCTTCCTGTCCCTCTCTGTGATGCTGCTGCTCCAGCAGACCACACCGCAGGTCTTTAAAACAATTTGACTATGTCAGCGATGAGAATGACATCAGTCCAGTCGTATAATATACTATTAGTACCAATGTAAAAATTCTGAAGAAAACAGACACAGCCGTTATGACTCTCAGAGCCAGGGGAACAGCAGATAGAATGTTTGTGAGAGTGCACTTTGCCATTTGCTGACCAAATGTCAATACGACTTCTTATTTTCCTCTTCGTAATTCTAGGAAATTTGAGGAGGATAAGAAGACATCCATAACTAATAGCCTTTCCAAAAACTTCAGCATGGAATATGTCGATTTATGAATATAAGCCTGGGACTAGTGCTGCGTCTGTTTGCTGGGGAAAGCATATATTTCTCTGTTTGCTCTATTTGGAAAAATGGATTTGGCGCTTTACCAGTTGCTGGATCTGAGTTTGCTTCATGTTGTGCCAAAAGCTACAGCATGCTTCTCCTCTTTTCTGTTGTTGGGGATGAATATTTGTTGTAATGCTTTGTATTGTGTGGAGCACGCCCCTGTGTGTCTTATTTCTAATGTGTGCCAGGGGCCGGGGAGATGTGTTTTCAATTACCACTCGGTAGATTTAACTATGGTGAGACAATCAACCACAGGATTGCACTGCGATTGTCCATGCAGTGCATAACCGTGCGTGTGTGAGTCAGCAATAACTTTATTTCATTCAATTGGTCGTTTATTCCTCAAAAATGTTTAGCTTTGCACCCAAATATTTGCCTGAACTGAAACCGAATAAAGGATATGGGAACGAAAGACAAAGCAATTGCAGACCAACACTGTCATCAAAAATTACTTTGGAGAAATGTCCTGATGGAACCTTGGCAGAGCTCAGTGGGTAGAGTATGTGTCCTCTCAGCTAAAGGTTGCTGGTTCAAATCCTGCTTCAGATATAAAAAAGAAAAGAAAAAGAAAACATAATTGCTTGAGTGGTCAGGTCGAGCGCTTTGCAAAGGTAGAAAAGCCTTATTTTAATTACCCTCGAAAACATATTTTATCCAACAACTACAGCAATTTTAAAAAGGTACCTGCCGTTTAGAGGTAGAAGAAAAAAAGACACAAATCGCAAAACATTTGTGTAGATCAATGGATATTAGCGTTAACAGCGGCAATCAAAACAGTTAATAATGTGATTAAATGCACACCCTAGTGACACACTGAAAGATCTATAACATTAGTTCCAACAGATTTCTGCAGCATGAAGATGTGAGAGCAGGTTTTATCAACTACAAATAGCAAATAAGGCCAGTCTCGTGGGATTTGTACACATAAAGGCATTTTACTTGGTCCATCTTTTATGTGCCTAATTTATGCAGCTGAAGACGGTGGCTCTGTGCGTCCTGGTGCATTATGGAGCCCTGGAGTGTGCTGTTAACTCCAATGTCCAGAACCCAGATGGAGCCTATGAATGATTAAACACAGGTGCAGCAGCAGCAGAAGCAGTGCGGCTGCCAACCACATCCACCGCTGGATCACAATCACAGCCTTTTACAGGATACACAAGATTTCGAACAGTAAATACTATATCAAGTTACTAAGCCATGATGTAATTTGTGCCAATTACCTTGGTGTTCTAATTTGTTGAAATATTCTTATTTTTTTTTATTATTTTTTTTTAAAGTATAGATATTTTAAAAACAAACTCAAAAACACTAACACACAATCACAGGTGCAGGACAGCCAAAGAATCAAACCAAAAAAACAAACAAAACTAGATTTTTTTTTATATATTTAAAGAAAATTTGCCTTGAAGTAATTGTAAGGAATTTCTTGACTACAATAACACTTTCTTGTTTTAAAGCATGTTAGACTACACATCCACAAGCCTTTTGATTAAAGATTATGAATAGTATATACATACATTTTTAATTGTCTAAAGTATCAAAGATTGAGTAAAAAAAGAGCAAACAAACAATGTCTGCTTGTCATTGTAACGATGTAATGTTTATCACATTTACAAACATAACTAAATGGGGGTTTTCACTGCTGAAAGCACAGAATAATATTCTCCAGTCACAAACCTGTCTACAACTGCAACAGTGACCTCTAGTGTGACTACCTCACACGAAAGACAGACATGGTGCAGGTCCAGACCAGGGGGCATCTGAGTTTAAAGACATAACTTTTCCATTGAGTGTGATTCATTTACTTTTCTCAAATTAACACTGTACATGAATTTGCCTTTTACATCCATGGAGATCCAGACCAGCGCACAGATAAATGAGCAAGCCGTTTTTTTTGTGATTCTTGAACTGAATTACAGTAAAGTATTATATTAGAGTTCACATAAGATTTGTAATATTATATAAATTCTCACATCTTTTTAAATCTCAATGGCACACTCACCTACTGTCTTTAGGATTAGTCAAACGCTTCAGTGAAACCAATCCCAACAAACATAGATCAGTTTTAAATGTGTGACTTGACTGGTCTCTGAGCATTCTGCCTTCAGCCTGCGGCTCTACAATGAAATTTTCATGCAGCCATATGGAGGAGCATTGGTGAGAGAGATTTATTGTCAGGACTAGACGTCCCGCTGGAGAAAACAAGGAAGCCTGA